TTACATGTTTAAAATTTTATGTGAATTGCTTTTGTTTTGAAAAAGTTATTTATATTTATGTCACATAAATAAAATTTCAAAAAGTTTTGTTACACACTGTATATTAGTGTAGTTCACATCTAGTTACTTCAATATTTCCTGTAACATGCTAGATAACATTTATCTAACGAAAATGATTGACACTACTTTAGGTAATAGGATGAATGGCTAAGTTTTCTCAAAATGTATCTATTATGTTTTTCTATGTTTTCGCGTATAACGTGAGGAATATATAAACAAGCTTCGGACATAATATGAGTTAACTTCAAGAAGTTTTTGTTAAATGTTTGGACTTAATGTATATACGTAGATACCTAGTTAAAAATGCTAGAGACGTGTCTTACGTGACATAAACTTAATGCATAATATTTATATAATGTAATTTACGCGCAATACACGAGATAATTTTTCTAAATAAAAATTATATTTAAATTGATTAGGTAAATAATTTAAAAAATTTTTACTATTTGACTAAAATCTTCAAATCTGTTTCTGTCATAAATCTTTAATATCTTGCCTCTATATTAAGGAAGTCTATTAATTCTGACTGCATTCATCTACACATTAATCATAATAAGATTGATTTTCACAACTACTAGCACATTTTATTCTTTTTTTTTACATCCAATAGAATGCACAATCTCGATTGGATATTAACAATTAAATCTTCGTGTTCTTATCGGTTAAGTATTAAAATATCAAAACAAAGTACAGACTGAGTAAGTTTAATAATAATTTGTTTTAAGACAATTATTTCAGACGTAAACTTTCTTCCATTAAGTTTTTATTTCATTTAATATGATTTATGCATAATTAATAGAAATTTTGACCATAGTACTTTATCCTTTAAGTTATAAAATCTGACCATATGCTAACTTTATGCTATCTGAATTTATTTAGACCGATACTTCGAGGAATATTTGGTAAATATGATCCATACGTCTTTTATTTGAAGGTGCGATCTTCTTTGCCAGACGATAGAGAATTAATCTATTATTGCGGGTCAGGATCGGTGACATAGTCATGGCACAATCTTTGCCTTCGCGATACTTTAGAGTAGAGATTCTGTCAAGTTTATAAGGGAAAAGATCTGGCAAGGTTTTAAATTTGAGGCAAGTCAAATTAGGTAAGTATGAGATTTTTATCAGTCCAAGTTCCATTTTCTTTTATTTGCTAACATTGACACGCAGATAAAAAAAACAAAAAAAACAACGAAAGTAATAAGATTGGAGATTGAAATGTGCGATCGTCGTAACACTATTGTTAATGGCAACGTGAAGTATGACATTTTGGGTCTGGTACGATGATCGGACAGAAGTAAGGGTAAGTATTATGGGGCTGAGTAAGACAGAAAGAGTGTGAAATTGGTGAGTTAATAGGGTTTAATATTATAATTTAAAATACATTGTTATTAAAATTTTTTGCTTTTTGTCAGAAATCGATGGATATTAAAAATGTGAAAACGAACACTTTTTGGTTCATCATCTCCCTTTAAGTTCTAAGCCTTGCTTATATTTAATACTTATTAAATATATATTGTGAAATTTTAATTTAATATTGAGTTTAATTGTTTTTATTAAAATGATTTTTTTTTAATTCAAGCTTTATTTTTTCTATCTTTAATATTTCAAAAATCTTAAATATATTCTACCTTTTCATAAATTTAATTATGATATAATTGAATCATGGCATTGCTTATGCTACTATATTACTTTTTTATTTTTTACAATATATAACTTTAATAATATTGCTACTTCTTATCTTTAAAATATTTTATTATTTGATTTTTATTTTATATGACTATTTTTATCAAAATGTTTATTTGTGCTTATTTTAAATATATTGGTTGTTTCAATAAAGATACCTATTTAATTATAATTACAAATTTAATATAGTCTATTACACCAATATATATTATTTCTACTTGAAATAAATAAAACCATTTTTTAAAAAAAAATCTAAATTTTAATTTTATTATTTTTGTAATTTTTTAGATATAATATATATAATATTGAAAAATATTGTATTTTCATGACGTTATATCGTGAAAATAATTTAAATTTGAGAAATGATGTTTCTATACAAAGTCTTAATTTTATTCTACTATACTCAGATCGTAAGATTGTTTACGAAAAATATCCTAAAGATATGTTATTGTTCAATTAAGCTTCTTACTGTCTATAATATATAATGTGTTAGTGTTAATTCAATATAATAGATATATAACGTTTTGATATATGTTTGTACATGCAAATTTTCCAGTTCTCGAAAAATTCTGCCATTCAGTAAAGGTTTTACAAATCTATTTGGAATGTGAGCGATTCTTCAAATTTCCATCACATGTTTTTATAAAATCTATATAAAACTGCGGTGTGACTTCAATAATATCTGATCTAGTATTTCGATTTATAAATCATCTACGTAGTACTGTAGTTACCGCTATGTAAATCTCGAATAAATATTTTATGAAGAAATTATTAGATCAGAATACAAATTACCATTCAGTTCGTGTTATTTAATCAATATTTTCGTGCAAAGTACCCTTTGTTGCATAATCTATAATAAAAATGTAATCCTTAGAAGTTTCGTCTACAGAAACTCCATATTTTAAAAACGTAGAGTTTTTGTGACTAATATCGCAGTATGTTTAAATTTCAATAAAAGAAGAAGGGCAAGAAAAATTTTAAAAATACAACTTATTAAATAAATTAAATAAATATTACATATTTCTTAAACTCCTTGTAACTATCTCTTGATCTATTAAATAATATAAGCACAACAATTTCGTCGCCTCAAATCTCAAAAAATACGGTAGCAAAGCCTTGTTGCTCTATCCTCTTAATGTCTTTAAATTCGTTGTAATTAATCTGACGTAGCAAACGTAAGCATTTTTTTAAGGTCATTATTGATATTAGGGTTTTTTAAGTATTGATTTATTTGAAACTAAGTTAATAGATTATTAGATTCGAAATAATTAGAATAAATAATAGAATAACAATTTCATAATATTTGCCTAATAATTTATTCTTTCTCTAATTTTTAAACATTGGTTCATTATTATGTTTTTTATTCTGCCCGGGATTTTGATTCTTTTCAAGGCTCTCTCAAGGTACGGTGTTTCACAGAGTTGTATGCTTTGCAGATGTATTGACTTAGAACCCAATATTCCTTACGTTTCTCTTTTTTTCATCTAGGACGTTGTTGATGGGCTATGCTATGGGAACACGTGGTGTTGCTTATTGTTAGGATAGTAGCGTTGAAATCGAAAACGGTGGACATAAAACATTCCTCGAATATCATCAAAAAATCAACAGAGATGGGTAATGCTTTGGGGGGCATTTAGTGCTGGTCATTGTTACATTATGAAATAGGAGTTGAGAAGGATGAACATAAGGCATTCAAGTATTAACAAAAATTAACTGAGATAGATAATGTAAGCGGAATGTTTATGGAATTGGAATTGCTCAGAATTTTCAGATGGCTATGCATCGATATCAAATGTAAGCGTATTTATTTCAATTGTTCGTTAATAATTACTGTAGCTAACATTTTACCCAATTTTTTAATATTGTGTTCTTTCATTAAAATTCATTTTGATAATAATAACCAACATTAAACTGCATATGCCATCTACATATGCCATCTACATAATCCATCTTGGATGGTTTTCAATAATATTTGATCATTCCAATTCCATCGAAATTACAATGGCTAACCTGTAATAATATGCCATTAGAATTTCTTATATCGGCTGATTTTTGATATATTCGAACGTCTAATCGTTCATATTTTTCGACACATATTGCATTTTGATAACAATAGCTAACCTGAAACACGAATATCTACGTGCTTGGCTAAATGAATATTAATAATAAAATAACAACAATTCATATGATTTACAAAATGAAGTATAAAAATCATGGTTAATATTAGATATAAGAACCAAACATATCGTAATGGGGTTGAAAGTAAAACGGATAAGTTCATTCGTGAAATAATTGTTCGGAAAGTTCTCAGATACTTTGCATGGACATTTCATCATATTGAGTTGAAATGGGAATGGTTCCATTGTATTGCGGAGTATGCAAGTTCCACAAAAAATCATTATAAAGAGTCAATTCATCTACTGTCGTTGTGTTATGATAAATTTCTGTTAATTGTGGTGGTGTGGAAGAATGAATTTAGTAATCCATAAAGAGATGGTCGTGGTGGTAGATGTGGTGGTAATAGCTGAGTGGAAATATTAGACTTAATAGAGTCGGATTTGCGACATTTCTTTATACAGTATTATTGATTTTGACTTTTCGGGATGCGCTTCCATATATTCAACCTTTTTTTTTATTGGAAAATTTGCGCCAATATAATTTTACTTCTTCATTTTCCTTTTTCCATAATCTTGATAGAATTTTAGAGATGATGGCGTTGGATATATTTCCCATATCGGCAGTCACCTCGGACTGTTTTGCCCATCAACACATTGTGTAGCTTTGATGTATTATTGTCTTTTGGTGTGACCAAAATTTTTCATTTTCAAATTATCACTTTCTTCTCTCGTTTCCACCTTGGAATTCACGCCTACATTCCGGATGGGGTTGTGGTCTTACTCTCATGGGTTCTATAAATGAGATAAGGATAAAATTGACATTGATTTCAATGCTGCTGCTGTTTCCAAAAGAAGTGGCATAACCTATCATAAACGAATAGCTATCTAGACCATTTCAATTAGACTTTTTGACGTCGAACATCAAGCGGTTGCAGCATTTTTTTCTTGCCTCGGAATTCATTTTCACAAATTTGTGAAACGCCTATTAGCGAGAGAAATTAAAGGTAGAGTGTAATGGGTACTTTTTTCATATTGAACAAGAAGTGTGGAAGTCGGTCAATCTTTTTATTGAACCTCTTAACAATGGGAACCGAGGACCCATTATGTGTGTGTAGATTTTTCCTAAAAATAAACCCTTCAGGCGTCACGGAATTTATCCATGTGAGTTGCGGCTGAGAATAAATCTATAATTAACCTTTTCAAAGTGAGAATACAGTACTTTCGTTTATAAAAAGTTACTGTGTGATACCTATAAACGGTTTGTTTTTACCAAGAAAGAAAGTACCCTAATTTTCGGCAACTAGTATCCCCTTGTTAAGGTACCCATCATCACTTTTTTACTTATTTATATTAACCTTTTGCCCTAAAAAGTAAGAGATCCGAGAGGGGCAAAGTACGGTAATAATCAAAATGATTAAAAAATAAGTCTTTGATTATGTTACGTTACACTAAAGTCTGACTTTCCTATTTTATTTTAAAAAAAATTAATATGAATACATTATTACAAATTCCATGTGAAAAATAACAAATACAGTAAACTGGTTTTCACTTCATTTCATTTTTTCTTTTGATTTTTATTATAATATCTCAATAAGGGGCAAAAACAGGACAAAGGAAAATCAATTAAACGCAGAAAAAGCAAGTCTGCAGTATCCAAGAACAAGTGAAGACTTACCAAGTTCAATCCTATCATGGCATGAGTTCTGGCCTCGGGTTACCGACAGACTCTCCAATAGTGACAACAATGTTAAACAAGCAATATTTGGAATTACTAGATAGATTGAACAGCACTCATAATATTGATACAGATGTACTTGTAAATGTTAACTAACAGAAGTTATGAGATGGTATTTCAATTGGGCACTCTAAATATCTGAGTAGATAGTTGTTATGGTTAATGGTAAGGTATTTTCCTTTAAGTAGTGTTCTTTTTTATATAAATAAATATCTTTTGCAAATTTTAATTATTGTATTAATATTGTATAGAAACTAAATATTGCTTTATGATTTGAAGTTGAACCATAAGATTCTAATAGGTTGTTGGATTTGTAAATATTTTGAACCAAAAAATATTCCAATTATTATTTATTAAAGTTATCAATTTACTTTTAAAAAAATTATAATAAATCTTTGATAATTTGGAAATTTTAATTAATTATCATAAAAATATTTTTATAAAAGAATCACAAATAAAAACATTATATTCAAATAAATAGAATATTATTAATTTTTTTTTTATATTAATATATTTATCTATAATATATTGACAATATCCATAATCCAATATAAAATTTCTAAAATCATTAATAAATTTCTTAATAACAAAGTTTCTGATTTTTGAAAAATTCATTATCTTTTTATTAAAAAAATTAATTGACTTTTATATATTTACATAAAGATTTTTTCAATAAAATTTTACCAATATAAGAAATATAATCTAATTAAAAAAATTATTAAATATATTTTATCAATAAAAAACTTCAAAATAAATATATTAAATAATCTTAATTTTTAATAATTATCAAAAAAAAAATTAATAAAGTCTAAATATTACTTTATTTTATTAATATCAAAGCAAATTTTATAATAATAAAACTTTTTTTTTCAATAAATAAATATTATTTTTTTATTTATAGTATTATACTTGAAAAAGTTATATACAGTACATTATAACCGTTCGTATGGAAAAATAAAAAAATAGCGACTACAACGTAGGTGGTTAATACAAACGCTTATGTGTACCAACTCTCGAATTTTTTTGGCCACGCGAGTGTTAATCAATTTTCGCTTTAACTAAATAAGTAGATTTAATTAACTAAATTTTACTGTTCTAAGTAAAAGCACCGATTATAGTAATAGTTATTATAATCAGTTTTATTTTTATTACTGTCATTATTATAATGATCATTATTATTATTAAGACCATTATTATCATTATTATCGTTATTATCTTGGACTGGGTTGCAGGATCCTCTCTAGCGATATCTTGAGAGTTTAGATCTTGGCAAATAACTATTGCCATAAGTAGAATGACGACGGGCGAACTTGTAAACGAGTTTATTCTCGGGTTTATTTTCCACTCCGGTTTAAGCCTACGAATGGTATAGCATTTATCTTTCATAACTGTCGCACTATGTCTCATGAGTAAAGTTTCATTCTAAGAAACCTTCTAAATTAAGTGTCGAAAGTAGGTCACCGTTGCAATTCATTATAAAAAAAGATTATCTCATAAATGCAATCTCTCTGAACTATTTATTATTGACGTTAGTAATCTCTCAGCAATTGATTTCATGTGAACAAGAATATATACATATATTACATACAAATGCGTCATAATGCGTTGCTCAACATCATGCCCTTCATGAAGGAAGGAATCAAATCGTCCCGCGACAAAAGATTTTCTTACAAAAGATAGGATTCGAATACGATCAAAACCATCTTCAGTAAATTGACTACAAAAATCTTTAAATTCGCTGGCTTGATCCCATGATTGCTTTTCCAGTAATTGATTGAGCCATAGTCGTTGTACTTCATTCAACCTCAATTGTATACATTGCTTCATGCTGGCATCCGTCATATCGATAATATCATTCAAAAAATTCGAATCCATAATTGTTTTTCCCAATTCAAGATCTTTGGATCGGCATTGAAAGAATAAGGAGATCCGAATCGATGCATTATCGGGGCTCGAATTACTCAATTTCTGGAAGGTTGAGCAATAGTGAGTATAAATGCTACATGCTAAATGAAGCAAAAACCAAATTACCTCATCATAATTAACACGGTAATTATTCACTTTAAGGAAGTTCTGGAAGGTTGAATAGCAGTGAGTACATTAATTGCACACAGAATGTAGCGAAAGTCGAATTAAATTACCTTCTGATCAATTATATAACCATCATCTAATTAAGATAGCTGTTCCTTTTCATACATTACTTTTTGGGGGTTTTATTTGCCCTTCTTGTCGTGCCAATTTTTCAAATAAATCATCCTTTTTGATATATAAAGCAGAGCTTATTATCTGATTCTATTACATGCATTAAAAAATCTTTTTCATGCTGAAAGTTAATTATAATGATCTCAACCTTTGAAGGTGGGGAAGATGGATACGTTTGATTTTCAGGAGTTTATTGGCGCTCCAGTCTTGTCCGCTTGCTCAATTTGATATTCAAAGTCAACCTAAAGTATTAATAAAACACAAATAATTAGTTCGCTAATTTATTATCAAAAATTGTGAGATACTTAAGCTTTTCGAATAATTTTTATCCAAAGCATCTACTTCCCAAAACCTCTTTCGTGTTTCCTCATCCCGAGCTGACGTCTGCTCAACCTATTTACTGTAGTAGTTGTTCAATTTTTAAGTAAATTCACCTCAATGCCTACACCATTTCACATTTCAACTAACTTGAGACAGGAAGTCCTGAGTCACGATTAGTTTTTCACGTTCTTTAAAGTTCTCAATTTCCCACTGTATCCACCATTGAGAAACATCATTCGGGACCTTATTCTTTTGATAAAAGAGGGATAAATTATAACAGCAGAAGCAAAGATGGCAAGCGGTTGCATATTAAAAGGCGACCACTCGCCACGAGCTGGCCAAATGTCTCTCGAAAGAGATGCCTTGAAATCCGAACTCCCACTACGGTCTGTTCGGTTACAACCTCAGCCACACACCCAAGGCGACCACTCACCACGAGCTGGCCGAATGTCTCTTGAAAGAGATGCCCTGAAGCCCGAACTCCCACCACGGTCTGTTCGGCTGTAGCATTCATGCCCCTGTTCATAAGAAGGAGATTTAAATATACCTACCAAATCTTTAATAGAGATGCTTTATTAAAGATTTAACATGAGATCGGTCGTCTGTGGTTATAATACGCGCAGGATCCTCTAAAAAACTTTTGCATAAAGAAACAACAGACTCTAATGAATTCAAGAATTGATTATGTCATTTTATCTTTCGTTCTTCTTCCCACGAACAGACTTTCGCCATTCGCTTCTAACCATAAAATAAAGTTCTTTTCTCTCCATTCATGTGGCCTCGTTTTCGCAAAATATTCAGAATATTCTGTATGCGTGAAAAATATTTAAGGACAACTGTAAAAATAAAATTAAGACGTATTCTTTTAACCCACCGAAAGGTAATAGTGTTCGTCTAAATTCCGAAGATTCCATGTGCCACAGATCAGATCAGATCGGATTTAACTAAAACCGATTTACTGTAAACCAATCACATGATTTGTCACACGGATCAAGGGGATAAAAATTCTTTCTATAAAGTTAGCTTTCTAGGACGAACTGCATTCATAAAATGCAGCGTGACGGTTTGGCAAGGTAAGCACTTTATTATGTGAGTTTAAATTTAAATAAATAAGGCTGAGAATCGTTTATGAAGGTTATTTTTCGCATATTGCAAGAGTATATAGATCGTTTGAAAAAGCTTTTAATAAAGAATAATTATAGCATTAGCCTTACATACTGTAAAAACTCTCTAATAGACACCGAGTCAATTATAGTAATAAAAATTTACTACTGGCGAAGAACAAAAAATCGCTAACTATACTAGACTAGCGATAGGATGAAAAATTTATGTATTTAAAATAAAGAAGAATCGAAAGATGTCTAGAATAAAAATTTAATAAAGATAATAGAGATAGTAACAACAACAACAACAACAGTAATAATAATAATAATAATAATAATAAATAATGACTAAAATTATTAGTTAATTTGCTTGTTTCTAGATAAATAAATAGATCAAATAAACGAATCATTATAATATTCACTAAAATTCTTTAATTTAAAAAATTATAGGAACTTACATCGTTGTAAAAGAAATAAGCAGAGTCTTTGTTAGATTATGGTTTATAAGCCGTCATATATTCTGTCGTTATTATCGTAAAACGATAACCTGTTTAGGAATACTTCGGCTTTTAGTATTAATATTATATGAAATTTATTTGTAACAAGTAAAAACTCTGATGATAAAAGCTTGTTCAACATAGTAAAGAAAAAAAAATTGTATTCGTTAATAGAAAATAGAACGGCTTTATCAATAAAAATTAATTTTTGCGAAACATGTGATTACACAAACTTTAACGCTTAATATTAATCCAATACTAGCTCGTTTACCCGGGCTATGCTCCGGGATTAAGTATGCTAGTGTAATTTATATAGTAAAATATATAAAAAATAAATAATAATATTGTATTGATAAAAAATAAGTTTTTTTTATAAATAAATATAAATTAATTAAAAAATTTAATATTAAAATAATTTATTTATTTATTTAAATTTAAAATTTGAAGTTAATATTTTAATTAAAAAAACAAAACTCTTTAAAAATTAAAAACCCAAAAAATATTTAAATCATTTTATAAAAATAAAAAATAAAAATAAATTATTTTTAA